CTGCTGCAGCTGCTGCAGCAGCTGCTGCTGCGCCGCCGCCCTCAGCAGCAGCAGCAGCAGCAGCAGCAGCGTCACCTTCTTCTGCTTCTGGGGGCCCCTCAGGAGGCGAAAAAGCAGAAGCAAGATCAGAAGAGCTGCGGCAGGGCCCCACAGCTTCTCCAGAACGCATGCAAGGGGGGCCCCCCTCTTGCTGCGCTGCTGCTTCGCTGCTGCTGCGCCCCGCTGCCTCCCCCGAGGGGGCCCCCAGGGGGCTCCCCAGGGGGCCCCCAAGCGGGCCCCCCAAGGGGGGCCCCCTATCCAGCTCGTGGGGCCCCGAAGTCTCTCTGCTGTCTACCCCTGCAACACGCAAACTCAGCAGCGCCTGCGGTGTTGCTGCCCCCGCTGCTGCTGCTGCTGCTGCTGCTGCTGTTGCTGCTGCTGGTGGGTCTTGGTGGGGAGGATGCCACAGACCCGAACGGACCCCAGCAGCAGCAGCACCACTTTCCCCATTCTGGAGGGGCCCCCCAGCCTCGGGGGGCCCCCCTGTCTTTGCTGCTGGGGGGCCCCAAAAGACTTCGGGGGACACGGGGGCCCCCGGGGGGCCCCCAGAGTCCCCCTGGGCCTTGGGGGGCCCCGAGATCTCTATGGGAAGCCCCAAGGGGGCCTTTTGAAGGGGCCCCTGGGGGCCCCCCTGGGGCCCCTGGGGGCCCCCCTTGCCCTCCTGAGGGGCCCCTTCGGGGGGCCCCAGACCCTCTTTGGGGCCCCCCTGAGACTCCTGACCCAGGGGCCCCCCCGGGGGGGCCCCCCGGGGGGACCCCTCAGAGGCCCCCAGAGGGTCCCCCAGGGGGGCCCCCCGGGGGGCCCCTCTGGGGGCCCCCAGGGGGACCTCTTGAGGACTCTGTGGGGTGACTGGCTGGCCGTTGGATTGCTGCTGCTGCTGCTGCTGCTGCTGCCATGGTGAAGAAGGTAATGGGTCCTGGAGGGCCCCAAGGGCAGATGCATGCGCTGCTGCTGCTGCACCCCTGGGGGCCCCCTGGGGGGCCCCCTGCGGCGTTAGGGCCTCAGCAGCAAGACGCGGAGAAGCTGCAGCATTCTTCTGCTGCTGCTGCTGCTGCTGGGAGTGCTGCTGCTGCTTCTGCTGCAGCAGCTGCTGCTCCAACGAGGCTGGCGGCTGCTGCTGCTGCCACGCACCCACAGCTGTTGCAGACGACTGTACCTGCTGCTCCTCGTCCTGCTGCTGCTGCTGCTGCACCTGCTCTTGCTGCTGCTGCTGTTGTGTATTATTTGCTGCCTCTGGTGAATCCAGAGAAGGAGCAAAAGCAGGGGACGGGGTGTCTTGCTGCCACTCTTCCCAAACCCCCAGAGTTCGCGGCTGCTGCTGCTGCTGCTGCTGCTGCTGCTGGTTCTCCGCTGCTGCTGATGCTGCAGCGCTCTGCTGCTGTAGCTCACTGGTGAGCACAAAGTGCGGAGAAGGAGGCGGCTCCTGTTGCTGCTGCTGCCCCTGCATGTCCCCAAAAGATTCATCTTCCCGCTGCTGCTGCTGCTTCTGCTGCTGCTGCTGCTGCTGCTGTGCGTCTGCTGCTTCTAGAGCTGCTGCAGCACCTTGAAGCTTCAGGGAAGCAGCAGGGCTGTGCTGCTGCTCCGCCACTGGGGTCGACTCCCAGTCCCCCCAGTTGTCAGCCAGCACCTCTTGCTGCTGCTGCTGCTGCTGCTGCTGCTGTTGTGGGCTTCCGTGCTGCAGCTGCTGGACTCCAGCTGCATCCAGTGCCTGGCGCTGCGGCAGCTCAAGCTGCGGCGAGGTGGAGGCTGGGGGGCCCCCCAGAAGGCCCCCCCCCCAAAGGGGGCCCCCCTGCCCCCCAGTACCCTCTGGGGGCCCCCTGGTAGAGGGGCCCCCTGCCAGCTTTGTGGGGTCTTGGAGGGCACTTGCTGCTGCAGCAAGCTGCGGGCTAGCGGGGGCCTCCGCAGCTGCTGCAGGTGAGAAGGGGCTGTTTACCTGGGGGCCCCAGGGGCCCCCGGGGCCCCCGGGGGCCCCGGGGGCC